ATATATATATATATATATATATATATATATATTATTCAGTGATAAGACAATGGATTATTTTTAAATTTGAAGAATTTAGTGAGGGTGTTTTAGTGAGAAACAATAATTTCATCATTAAATAAAAAGTTAGTAGTCCACCTCTTTCAATATCAAAATGTAAATATTAAAATGGTGTTTTAGTGGTATCAAAATATAAATATCAACTAGAGCAGTAGAGTAATAAATCAATCACAAAGTGAGATCAAATTTTAACATGAAAAACATAATGCAGGAAAAAATCATGGGACCGTAGTCCACCTCAAACTATAATGATAATAAATTTATAATAAATCTTTTCTAAAATAACAAGATGAACATAATAGCATCAAGACTACATATCTTGGCTCAATAATAATATATCATCATCACATGGATATCACAGATCTCATCAATAAAAAGTTTAAGTCTCCCCAAGTGGGTATAACATAAAAGTACCTCGGAGAGGGTAAATTGTATATCAGCACCATTAGGATTGTAGAGCTTGCTATAAGAATTCTCCAAATATAATTTAGGTTTAAACTGACAAAGTTTTATCTCTGATCGTCAAGTAAAAAATTTAAAATCTTATTTTTCTCTCTCTGTGCGTCGTGACTCACTGAACGCTATCTCTTTTTTAATTTTTTTTAATTATTGATTTGGGCTCCAAGATTAAATTATCCGGTCCAAACCCACGTATGGGCTGAACCCAACAATTTCAATCAACAACTCAAAATAAAACCTGATTAGTTCAGTTTTCTCATAGGTAATAAATTTTAGGAGCATCATATGCTCCTTCACGATTGAGAATTCGACCTTTTTCTTTTTCTCTCTCTGTGTTCTATGTCTTTTCACCAAAAAAAAAATTGGAGGAGAGATCGGACGATAACGAGCTGTTGTTTTCACTTACTGTGGACGGCACTATCGAAAAGCTCCACTTATCCTCACAGTGTGCTATTATTATTTGCATAAGAAAAAAAGGAACGTTTCTTTCAAGAAGACTAATAATACATTGTGGTGGGACCTCAAGTGGACACATCTCTCTTTCCTTACGAGCTGAACATTCACAGTGGCTATATCACCCTCATTCACAGTGGCACAAATGCTCCTAAGAATAAGGAGACTTGGAATTGTTTATAAGAACAAAAGGATCAGTGCAAGAACAAGAAAAAAGAAACTTTCTTTGTTTTGCCAAACTATTGTTATTAGATTTTTCTTTTTTCTCATTCTCAGACAAAATTTATGAACAAGTGCATGGCATGGTACAAACTAATTAGAAGAAACATAAATATTAGATGAAATAAAGAGAGGTGGAATAAGATTCAAACTCCTAATCAACTACACAATCTCATTCATGAATTCTTTAAATTGGAGAATGTGTCACTGATTTGAGGAATCACCAACATTATGCTTTTGTAGAGTTAGACTCATTTCAATCAAGAATTCTACAACTAGAATATGTTACTGATCACCCTCCAAAGGAGCCTTATGTTGAGCTCATGCGAGAGCCACTGATCTCTCTTGGACATGAGAACAAGAGTTGTCTCATCTTTAGGGATAACAACATTTGACTCGAATCATCTGTGTTTCATCTCTATCCTAACTCTTATCCCACTCTATAATGATTTACAACATGATATGACAAATAAGGATTGATTTATGTTACTTCCTAATTTGATCATCAATTGGAGTGTTTAAAATAACATGATCTGTTGTTATAAATCTCGAGCAAGCATTGTTAATGAAAAGGAACATAAACAAGATCTTCTTTCGACCAATGTATTTATTGCCTATGAAAAGAGACTAATGATTAAAATTATTTTTTGATTTGAAGAATATTTATTGTTATAGTTAGCTTGTTTTATCCATCGTTTTCGACCACATCAATTCCCATTGTAGATTATTGGATCAAAGTTTCTAAAATTATATTTATTGGAAATTGGATCCAAATTGGGATGAGCGTCCCAACTCACCTTCCCCACATCATCCAACCCCGGAATGCACCTCTAAGCTTCGGGAACCTACTGAGGACGAAGATAACTATTTAATGCGGTACACGCCAACCCACATTGCATGATGGCAGCCTTTGCCTTCAAATCATAATGGACTTGCCATGGCCCCAAACATCCACCATCAAAGCACCCCCAACAACCATCATCCATACCCATCCATACTTTAGTGTTTGAGGACAATAATACACCATGACATGTAGAAAAAATGTCACGAAAGATATAGATAAGGATTTCTAGATCGTGTGTTCATTTGCCAGATATCATCTTGGTTGTATAGAAAATAAAATAGTAATTGAATGATTGATTTAGCCTTTGTCTACGTGATTGGATGATCTTATTTATTTAGATCAATAGATTCTTAAGAAGCTTTAATAATGATCAGTAGAGAAGGTAATTAATTCTATAGCAAGTGGCTTATTAATGTTTGATTTGCTTATAAACCACTTGTAAACATATGTATCGAAAATTAAACCTTCTTAAATAACACATATTGCACTTGGACATTGAACTATTAAATCAAAAAAATATTGGGTAAATTCTAAAAAAATATATTCTTTTTAAAATTTTTATAGAGCATTCGTACTTAAAAAAAATAAAACAATATCTTTATTTTGATAAAGATCCTTTTACGCATGTTGGTAATCGCCTTTCGCCCAGCTCTAGCCTATCGACCATTTCCTTTATCTCGAATAGTTGCTTGCAGTTCTCGTTGTCGCTTGTAGACTTACCTCCTCCCTTCACTTGCAGCTCTTATCATCGACAACAAGGGAAGAAAGAAGAGGGGGCAATCGTGTGCTAACCTTTAGCAAAAGCAACCCTTACAAGTCATGGGTGATGATGAGTTTGATTGAAAAAAGGAATAAAATAATTTTTTTATATGATCAATCTTCAAAGGAGATGACGGGCGATGATAGATTCAATGGAAAAAGAGATAAAATGATCTTTTATTTAGTTTTAAAAATTTTTAAGATGGAGATGTTATAAAAAAATTCCAAAAATAGTATATTTTTTAAAAAAATTGTCCGACTTATATTTTCCTCTTCTTCTCGACTTTAATTTGTATAACTATTATCTATTTCTTTTATCTTTGGACTTGATAGCCGTCTCTTCCCTCATTAATTGCTTCTTGCATGATTTTTATATTTGCTAATAACTATTTTAATTTTGGTCTACAAATGAACACTAATGCCATAGTTGGGATTATAAATAATTGAATTCAAGATTATGTGACAATTACTTCAACGAATCATCCCCGATTTATTAGCACGATCACATGAGAAGCAACCTTTAAACTATATTGCCGAGTGATTTGCTCGCACGGAACTCGATATGGTCAAAAGAGGTAGGCTTGACTTTTTCGTAGCTTTCCGAACGAAGCACAACGACTTCCGCCACACCCACCGACCGCACCTGCGATGACGCCCGCGCACTCACACGCGGTCTCGCACCTTCGCGACCGACCTGTTAGGTGGCGGGGCCCAGAGTTATTGACGCCGCGGGTGCGTGGGACCCGCCACACCTGCCCTTCTTTCTCTCTATATAAAGCGACCCACCCAACCACACCTCCCTCTCTCCCTTGGTTGCTCACCGAGTCGTCAACTCGCTCCGAGTTCGATCGTCCTCCCACAGCTACCCTTCCTTTCCCTTGGTGCGTGCGAGCGCGGCAAGAGAGGCGAGAGAGAGAGAGAGCGAGAGCCAGAGGGGCTCAGACCGGAACTGGCTAACGAGAGCGGAGAGAGCGTGGAGGACCGCAACAAGTGGGCAGTGCTCACGCTGTATGAGGCCCTGAACGTGCGGGACGTGGAGCGGGTGCAGCAGCTGCTGGCCCCCGACATCGAGTGGTGGTTCCATGGTCCGCCGGAGCACCAGCACATGATGCGCATGCTCACCGGCGCGGACTACGAGGAGACAACCGCCGCCGCCGCCTTCCAGTTCAAGCCCGAGCGAGTCGCCGCCTTCGGCTCCACCGTCGTCGCCGAGGGCAGCGGCCCCGACGCCGACACCGCGTGGGTCCACGCCTGGACCATCGCCCCGGATGGGATAATCACCCAGGTCCGCGAGTACTTCAACACCTCCCTCACCATCACCCGAGTCGCCGCCGACTCGGCCTCCAAATCCGCCGCTTCCTGCTCCTCCTCTTCTTCCTCCGGGTCGGCTCACGGGACTCCCGTGTGGGAGAGCAGCCGCCCCGAGCGCGCCGGGAAGTCCTTTCCTGGCCTCGTCCTGGCTATCTAAATCGACCTAATCCCAAATAATAAGTTGTTATCGCGATAGATAGGTAAGAGGAGGTGAAGGCTTCGCCTGTTGCCATATACCGTATATGGGCTGAGGGGTTCTTCTTCTTCTTCTTCTTCTTCTTCTTGTTGGAATCCGAGTCAGTCGTGTCTTAGGAATCAAGTCTGGTGTGTCTGTGTGTGTGTCGTGTTAGGAGTCCAAGATGAAGAGGGGAAGGAGAGGATTCCTTTCTTCTTCTTCTTCTTCTTCTTCAGGTCATGCTGCTGTGTGTTTGTTTGGTTACATGAATAAGAGATATCCGTGTGATTGCTTTAAATCGACGTGCGTAGATGGTAAAGGCTATTGGCAGGCGATAAGATTTGAGACGAGGAGAGGAAGAACCTCCACATCGACATCACGATCGATGGAACACAGGAAAGAAAGCGAGGATGAATCGAGGAAAGCTAGCGTGTGTGGACCAAACAAAGACAGCGGAGCGATGGCCACGTCTATGAATCGTACGTTGTGTCTCCGTCGCTACAACCTATTTCCAGCTACGTGAGTGGGTGTGCAGCGGGGAAGATATTTAATGGAGGAAACGTGTGATGTTGTGGGAGACGATAATTTACGGGTCATTTGGTCTCCGAATTGCCGTCTCTTCTGGAAACCATCGCTCCTCCATTCACACGATGAGAACGAATGGGAAAGACAGTACGACCAAATTAAACAGATATAACTTGGGTCGTCGTTCACCTACTTTTCTTGGTCTGAGCTTCCAAACATCAAGTGCTTGTCTTGACATCATACCTTCTTTGTTCCTATAACGACTTATTTCTGTTAGCCGGTCATATCAGTTGATGTAAAATCCCTCGACTTTATCGGTAGGGCAATTACTTGTGAGATAGCGTGTAGCTATAACTACATAACAATTTTTATGCATGGCTTGGGATCAAACAGTAATTACATAACATCACTTTCGCATCCCAATCTATGTGGGCCCACAACATGCCACATGAAAGCTCACAATGATGAGTGTAATGGAAATACATAATTATATAAGCTTTATATTATTCACAAAGCTCACAAACACAGTAACCTCAGACTACCGCTAATTACAACTACTAAGTTGTTATTAAGTCAGGGATACAGCTATAGTAACTCTAGTCAATGCACCATCGACTCAAAAACCCAGCAAGCGTTGCATTATAAAGAATATTGTCAAAAAAAAAAGAATTAAATAGGATAAAATAAATAGCAGATAAATCTACAGGAGAGGCAGCAGTCACTTCAACATGTAGCTAGAAGAGTCTTACTGGATAGAGGGAGCGTGTAAGATCACGTTATGCCATCACGAAAAATCAAAATCCTCGTCATACCCATAATCTTCATCACCAATCCCATTGTAATCATCGTAACTGACTTCTGCAAAATTGTGGTCTTCAAATTCTTCAGGCCTGTCACCATCCTCCGTAGCACCTGGATCAACTCCATGATTCTCAATGTTGTCATGGAGATTGTAAGGATCAGCGGCATCTGATTCGATTTTTTGCTTTTTCCCATTGTCTTGTTCAGACTGTTGAAAACACATGATCACTAAGGAAGAATAAAAATCTAAAACTACATTTAAAGAAACATTTCTTTCATAATAATTCCTAGTGCATTGCATTTAGTACATCATTTTGCATTTACTAGGTGGTATATCTATTGACAGTCCAAACTACTATTCCAAGAAGCTCATAAGATGCAGAAATGTCGATACAAAGGTCAACCTTACATATTGCAATATTTTGCACTACCTGTGAAGTTTACCAGGATTCTTCCGTAACGATAATGAGAGAGCTGATAGAACATCATTATTCATTCCTTAACTCCCAGTGCGTCAAAAGAAAAAGAAAAGTTCTAATGGGACCAATGCAACTCTTGGATATGTACTTTAAAGCAGAAAGATTCAGAGACTAATATCAGTTATTTCTAGAAATGCATTGTGTATTTGGAATCTCCTGTTCAATGTAAGAAGCATGTCTGTTGCCAAAAATATCTAATTTAAAATTGAGATATTGCAACACTAGGTGATAGTTCAATATAAACTAATTTTTACAAAAAACAACAAGATTCTTAAACTACAAGAGATGTATGATGAAATGATCCATAACAATGCTTGAACTACACAAAAAAATTAAGAGCATTTCTCCTGGTATATCAAATAATTGTGTGGCATAAACATGAAGAAATTGCAGTTCTTAGCATAAAAAAAGCTCATTAAGAGAAGGGACAAAGAATTACAGTGTATAGAGCTTCCAATGCTTCATAATTGACTTTCGAACTGAAGGTCTGTAGAAAAAAAAAGGCATATTGATTAGACAATAGAAAATGTTGAAATCCATGAAACGATATGAACACTAGCAAAAATCTCCCATTATCGCAAGCACATGCAATGACAACCTATTAAGTTAACAAGAAAGAGCACCTTTTTCTTGAGCATCTGACGGGTTGCTTCGAGAGGAGTCTGAGCAGGAGCTGCATTCTTGGATTCCTCAGCACGTCTCTTTTTTCGTTCCTGTATCCGAGATTGCATTATAGCAGGAAAAAAAGGTGCAAAAACAACTTTGATCATATTTCAAATGAGAAATATTTAGAATGTGAATACACCATCACAAAAAACAAATATACCAAAAGCGAACAGATTTGACAATAAAATTTCAAATGTCAGTTTTCGGCACAATATGATTGTTGTAACCAAGGTTTTAAAAACTGAACTGTACCAGTGCTAACTGTTCGGTAGACCAGGCAATTTCTCCCGTCTGGTTTGTGTTAGGACTCTAGCTAGGAGAGTCCTAATTGAGAGGGACATTCATGTAAAACCTACCTAAGTCGACCCCTATTAAAGAGGTGAAGTGGCCGGCTAGGGTTAGGAGGTTATTTCTTAGAGAAGAATAAGAAGTTGTAAAGGAATAGGAGTCTTGAGTAGGAGTCCTATTAGGAGTTGGTTAGAAGTAGGAGTCTTGATTAGGAGTCATATTAGGAGTTGGTTAGAAGTAGGAGTCTTAAGTAAGAGTCATATTAGGAGTTAGGGTATAGAAGCCCTATAAATAGTCATGTATTCCACCTCTTTTCATAAGCAATAGATGAATCTTTTCTGCAGCCTTTGAGCAACAACTTAGAGGGAGGAACCCCTATAGAGTTCCAAGGAGGTCGATCCCCTAAAGAGATCAACCCCAAGTTTAGAATCTGCAAGGTTTCTAACAACTGGTATCAGAGCAGTGTTCTTGGTGTCTCGCTGCCCTTCCACAGCCATCCATCAACCCTCCACAGCCACCCAAAGCAATTCCTACAATTGCTTAAAAGATCGTTGCCAAATTCCGCCATCATCTCCACCACCACGGATCATCCTTTGATCTCCCCGTAAATTGCAATAGGTTCTGGTTTTCTACCTTACTGCTGCTGCAATTTAGTTATCCTTATTTGAAAATCCCAAAAAATTTATTCCTATATTGCTGCATAAACTTTTCGTCATAAAGTTTTTATCTCTACGACGAAAGATACATTGCAGAATTCCAACCGTATAGCACCGTCTGTTTGATCTTGCTACTGTGTTTTTTCTATCCAAATCTCTACGAAATTTTTATGACATCTTTGACATTTCCTGACAGCAGATTTCCTTTGGTTTTGTCAAAAAATATAAATTATTGATATTTTACGTCTAATATACTATACTTGAAAATCTGCACTGTAAAATTTTAGCCGCATAGCACTGTTTGTTTGATCTTGATACTACGTTGTTTCTATCCAAATCTCTACGAAATTTTTATGATAGCTTTGACACTTCCTAATAGTGGATTTTCCTTTGGTTTCATCAAAAAATTCGCAATATAAACCACTGATCTTTTATGTCCAATCTGCTATACTTCAAAATCTGTGCTGCATAAAGTTTCAGCCACATATTGTTGCCTTAACCCATCTATTTACAATCTTTTTTGAATGAAATTTCTTATAGACTTCATATATCATCTTGGCTTCCATCTAAGATTGATCTATTAAGGAATTCATCTCTAAAAACGATTTTGTGTTGCTGCAAATTTTCGTTGTAAACCGCTGAAATTTTTCGACAAAAATTCTACAATCGCAACTTGCACCAATTTCCTTGCTATTATACTGCCGAAATTTTCTTGATTAAATTAGACATCCTTGCTGTCATATAAACTGTGATTTTACTATCAATTCCCTCCTCAATTCTCTTAAGTTTTTGGTGGAAATTACGTCGAGAAACCGTAATTTCTTCGACGACAATTCTACTCTTACAAGACAGCACATACTTGTTGCAACTTCCACTGATTTCTATCAAACCTTTGCTACCATCTACCACAGATCCAAAACTTTCATCCATAACCCTAAAACTCCACCAAAGCAGACCCTCAAACTGCACCCAAAATAGCCACAAAATAAGCCTAAACCGTAGCCTACATCCACCAATCCACCAACCCTTTCGACCATCACCTCTCTCAACCAATACATGCCTTTAACCCGACAACAAAAGAGAGATCTTAACATCACAGATTTGGCGGCATATACTATGGCATATGAGGAGGTAATCAATACTAAATTCGAAGCCTTCGAGGCGCGAATGAAGGATAAGATTCAGACGCTCTTTACCGAACTCAGATTGGGCCGACCACTAAGCCCGAAAAAATCATATCAAGGAGAGAGCTTTGACCAATCGCACCAGGCCCGAAGAGATGAGTTCCAAGGGAGGGGAGGCTCTATGACTGACCCCAACTATCCATACATGAGGGTAAAATTTCCTAGATGGGAAGGAGACCCGATTGGTTGGATCTCGCACATGGAGCGATATTTTCAATACCACAAAACCGCGAATGCATCTATGGTGAAAATTGCAGCTATACATCTTGAAGGGGATGCTATACAGTGGTTTGACTGGTTTGAACATACTTATGGAGTCCTTTCATGGCGACAATTCAAAGAAGGACTGCTGATCCGCTTCAGACCAACCGATTACGAGAATATTGACGGACAACGAGCAAAGATCCGACAAACCTCCACCATTCAGGAGTACCTAACCAGGTTTGAAAGATTATCTAATCAAACTCATGATTGGTCTAAAAAACAACTATTGAGGACCTTCATTGAAGCGCGACAACCGTATACGCTTATGGCAGCCATCTCTTTCGCACGACATCAAGAGGAGCAATTGAACCATGAAGCTCGGAGGACTAGGGTCGCTCCTCAACCAATAATATTGAAGCCCTCAGCCCCCCCTATTGTCGACCAAGTCCCTACACCAAAGAGGTTAACAAGAGAAGAGCTTCGGGAGCGATATGC